CTGCCATCTCTATTTCTAACCCCAACGTCCTGGTAACCCAAGCCATATCTAATCTCGACCATGACTGTTGCGAGTTGGAATAGAATGTAAATTGTCTTTCGCTTGGGTGCAGAGTTCGCCATATATCGATTAAATTCATTTCCTCCACCAAATCGAAAAAGGTTTTTGGTAAAGTCACTCTTTTATTTTTATTCATTTTATTACTTTTATGGTCATTATCTGGATCTACAATTCCATTGAAATCACCTATCATGCAAATTTCATTATGTTCCATATTCCCTAATTGTTCACGTAACTTTTGAAAAAATTCTCCTTGTTTTTTATTTGGAGCATAAATGCCCACTAATAACATTTTAGAGTTTTCTATCGTAACTTCAACCATAAGTATTCTGCCCTTTGTATCGTTATATTTCAATTCTGCTTCAATTCCTTTTTTAACATAAATTGCTACCCCTCTCTTTCTTTTTTCTGCTAATGAAGTAAATAGTTTACCATATTTTTTATACTCCAAACATTTGCCCTCATCCTTTTTTATATGGACCTCCTGTAAGCAAATTATATCCATATTTTGTTTTGCTAGCTTTGTAAGTGTTAATTTCCTTTTTTTACTATCATTTAAACCATTGACATTTACTGAGATTAATTTCAAATCCTTCATTCCTATTTTCCTTGCTCGGTTTTAGTTCTTATTTAGTCTTACGGCTCTTACTGGTCTTGTTTTTTTCTCCTTGGCTTCTTCTTCGGTCTTCTTCTCCTCCGCGGTTTCTTCCTCTCCTAGATTTGTCGCCTCTATTTCCTCCTTACTACTTTGTTCTTCTTCTGCACCTCTTAACTGGTCGAGAAAGTCTTGTGCTGTGCTCAAGCTGTCTATTTTTATTTTTCTCCCCTGCCAGGTGATTAGCATCCCCTCTGGCAGGAGCCATCTGAATAATATATTTCTTTTATTCAATTGCACAGCCAAAAATCTGTATCCTTTTCTCACCTCCCTCACTCTTCTCGGGATCTGTTTTAGTATTATCACTTCTTTTCCTCTGTATGTTATTTGTCCATCCCTCGCCATGCTGTATAAGATGTCTTTTACTTTTTTTCTTGCGAATCTAATGTGGACTTCTCTGGGGAGCCTATTCCTTCTCACATAGTTTGTTTGGACTCTATAGACGTCGTCCAGTTCTCTAATAATCTCGTGTTTGTCTTGTTGGAGTACTTCTGCAATTAGTTCTGCCATCTTCTCTCCCAAATCCTCGTCTTTATCTTCTTCCACATTTTGAAAGCGCAAGTAGAACGACGCCCTGTCCATCTCTAATTGTGTTAATGAATCTTCTAATTCCTTATTTTGCATCGTCAACGTCTGATCTACCATGTCCAATTTCTTCTCATTTTGTTCTATTTTTTGCCCCGCCTTCTGGATCCTTTGCTCGTTGTTCGAGATTGAGACTTGAATCTCATTCATCTTCTGGTCCAGTTGGTGGATATCTGTTTTTAGTTCGGTATGGTTATTGGACATCTTTTCCTGCATGGCCATCATCGTTTCTTGGATTAATGTCAGTGTTGACTGTACTGTTAGTAATGTTGGTGTTGCTATGGCCTTGTCCGTTTTTTGTGATCCTTCCGTTGATTTTTGGGTAGCCGGGGAGGTCATGGATATGGTGGGATTTGAGGGGGTCTTCTTCCCTGTTTTCAGGATCGTTGATGACATGCTCGTCATTTCTTTCAGAATTATTTTTTGTTCTCTAATTATTTTCTCGATATTTCTCCAAATTTTCATACACTGGCTGTCACCTTTTTTTTATACTTCCTCAAAGTATAGGGGGGAGATTTTTTTTTTTTCCAATCAATGTCCAAAATCAATGTCTATTTATCACTTGTGTCACATGTATCACTTCCAATCACTATCTTAAATAGACTTAACAATCAATATCAATTCATCAATCTATATTACTTCCAATCAGTGTCTTAAATAAATAACAAGAGTTGATTTATGACTTATAGTTATGTAATTATAATAGTAATTAATTAGTGTGTTAAGTAAGCAAGACCTGGTAATTCTAATCACAATAACCCGTTAACTCCTAAGTAAATCTATGTTCTATAACTACAATTCTTATATCTAAATTACTGCTTAAAAAAAAAAAGTATTAATTCAAATTTCTATACTTCTGATTACCAATAAGTTAATATATGTAGGAATTGTAATTCTAATATAGCAATATATCAATATATGGAAATATTATTCGTACAGATAAATATAAATGTAAATAGATATAATTAAATACAATTAAATGGTTGAATAAATAGATGTAGATCTAATAAACTTTATAAGAATATATCTTGTATATAAGCAATTAATTAATATAAAGATCTACGCTTCTTGTTGATAACAATAATAATATGCAGAGAATCAAAATATTAAAAAAAAATAATTTCCAAAGAGAGAGGGAAAAAGAGGGGGAAATCTCCAAGTTTTTAGTTGGGGGCAAGCAATATTTTCCCAAAAGCAAAGGGGTGATATTCTTTCTTTCTCACTCAGCCGCCAGTCTCATCCAGTCCTGTCTTCTTCTCACGTTTACTTTGCCACTGTCAAAACTCTATGGTAAGCCTCGAAGCTAGATCGTCTCCGTGCCTGTCCTTTTCAGTTTGCTCTGTCAGACTTCTTCAATGGCTGCACTTCCTGTTCTCTGGCACAATTAGATAGAGTCCAATCTCCAGCTTAGTTCATCTTTCTGCTTTAACCAGCGAATAGAGAAAAAAAGAAGTTCTTCTGAATTCTTTTAGCTTCCTTACTCCCTATACCCACCGATCCTCTTCTTGCGCAGGTAATTCAGCGACCTCAATTTCTTGTTCTCTACGCCAGCTTGTCGAGCTCCGTAGTCTTTCAATCTATTCTCCACTCTCCGTCGCCGCTCTTTTCTGTTTAAGCCCTTCTCGCCCGACTCCGCCGGCCCCTTCCTGATGTTCACTCTCACATAGGCAGGGAGGACACGGTTCAATCTCGACACTGCAGCCTCCGATCTTCCTTGCTTCCCGTCTGGTTGTCAGCTACCACAGCTTCGGGTCAGCCATTGAAAGGCTGACTTCACACGCGTTGGCTTGACAGAGCCGCCCGGTTTAGCGAGAAGTGTGTGCGCTTCACTTTCTCGTTCACCCAGCTCTCTCTATTGTCCGCGGGGCTCTCCAGGACCCGCGCCCCCGAAGGGATCCCCAAAACGCGGTGACAAACGGTGTTGAGGGGTGACAGTCACACACTCAGCACCATGTCGCTGCAGCTCGCCAACCGGAAGTCTAAAACTCACTTAATGAAGTCTTGCTTAGCAAAAAAATATTGGACTCAACTGTGGTCATAAGCCAGGGACTATGTATATGAGGCTCTGTGGGTAGTAGAATGTCCCTGGGCTAGAATGATCTTCATCTTTCATCTCCAGAACAGAACAGAACAGAACAGAACAGAACAGAACAGAACAACAGAGTTGGAAGGACCTTGGAGGTCTTCTAGTCCAATCCCCTGCTCAGGCAGGAAACTCAATATCATTTTAGACAAATGGTTGTCTAATCTCTTCTTTAAAACTTCCAGTGTTGATGCACCCACAATTTATGGAGGCAAGTTGTTTCAAGTTTATGTTAGCTACAACTCTTCAGCTTAGCTGTTATTTGAAAAAAATAAACCCAAGGTGTAAGAAAGCCTTTTGCAAAGGAAGGATATTCTGTAGAAGCTCAAAGGCATATGTATACAATTTATGGCTTACTAAACATTCATTATTTATTTATCATCCATGTCTTTATTATAGAAATCCAAATGAACTTAGATTTAATATGCATATACAAAATGTCAGTATGCCAATACCTGATCAATTGGATGTTTCCCCCCGCCCCAAATTTAAGTACTAATGGAACAATGAAAGACAATTTTAAAAAGCAACTAAGATGTAACACCAGTTCTGGATTTATTATTCTAAACATAATAAAAGCCATTATTTCTAAAATGCAAACTTCCATCCAAAATGCATCCAATATGAAAGCTTAATCATATTGTTCTGCAGAAAACAGAGTTAACGACAAAGCACCTTCTGTAATGTGTGTATTAGTGTGTTACTGTGTACCAGAACTAGATGGAAATTTGGAAGCTATAAATGTCATTTTGAGTACTGGAACTGAATAAACCTTACATCCTTCTTTATTTCAGCATGTAATAATATTGCAGCTGTAAACATCCTCTTGTTATTATTTCTGAAAAACAGATATCAAACTCTCAAGTTAACTTTTAACTTAATTTAATTTACCTTCACTTCTGCCCTCGAAAATCACATACAGAAGAGGCAATGTTCCTTCCTGGCAGTATGAAGAGATCAAAGGGATTGCAAATTTTAATCAAAATATAAAATACAGAAATATAAAGAAAACGAAGATAATGTGAAAATAGGGGATGGAAAGGAGGAAAGAAAAAAAGTGTTGGGTAAAAGAGGGAAAAAAAGGATTGACCACCAGTTCCTTTTTGGCACAGTAGAATAAGGTAATAAGACAAAACTTTGACTTTTTACTTTTATATAATATTATATAGTAGACGTTTCTATAAATCTACGTAATCAGCCAAACCCAGAATCAAAGTTTCATTTTTTTTCCCACCTCAAGCACAAAGTCCAGAAGTGGTTTCCAATTAGAAACAAAATTCATTGTGTTCTTTTCTTTAACCAGAGCACTTGATTTAGCCATCTCTGCTGATTCCATCAACCTTTGCAGCCATTCACCCATTGTGGATCGGCAAACATTTCTCAGCTAATGACCATTTCCATGTCCAACTTCTTATCTCCAAAGTGTCACTTTAGGAGTTCTAAGGGCCTCCTTTCGGAGCCTCGGATTGAAAGACATGGGAAGAGTGTCTCTATTATTTCCTCTTTTCCTCATGGTAATTCAGAGGTAGAGAGCGGGCTCTGGGGCTGATGCAATCCAGGGTACCACCTTGTTCAATGTTACTGAATTCAAGCCTCCTCTAATTCTCCCCAATCCAGATCCTTGCCTGTCATGTCAGACGATGTTGAGAAGAACGAGGCTCCTCCAGAGCCAGAGGCAAAGCAGGATGAAGGGGAAAAGCAACAGCAAGAGCCAGAGCCGGAGCCAAAAGCTGAGCCGGAGCCAAAGCAGGAGCAGCAACCACAGCTGGAATCCCCACCTTGTAGCCCCCCAGCACCAGAGGCCCCTCCATCATCCATGCTGGTGACTGTCACCATCGAAGAGGAGACTATGGGGGGACCACAACTGAACGGGGATCCCTTGGGGATGAGGGCCGGCTCAGCTGAGGAATTAGGAACCACCCCGGCCCCTCCTGGCAGCCCCCCGGCACGATCCAAGTCGGCATCGCTGAACGACCTGAAGCCCCAGAACAGCGTCAATGGAGGCCCTCGGGCAGTTGTGAGGGGCAGTTTGTCTGGCTCTCAGGTGCATCTTGCGGGCACAGCAGCAACTCCGCGGGCCAGTCTGAGTCGGCAGGCCTCAGCAACCGGATCAGCAGCTGGGGAGGCTGGGGCGAAACCCAGAGACTACATATTCATGGCTGCTCTGTCCTGTTTTTGCCCCATCTGGCCGATCAACATTGTGGCCTTCGTGTACTCGGTCATGGTAAGTGCCAAGACGGTGTTGGGCCATTAAAAGAGCCACCGAGTATGCAGATCTTGTAAAATACTTTCCCTGGCATGGTTAAATGCTGCTTTCCATTTACCCTTCCCACCCAGCCTACTTAATGCTGCACCCACACCTCATCCACACGAGCCAAAGAAGAACAGTACACTTAGTTGTGCAGGAATGGAACAGGCAGGACAAGCTACTGTACATAAACAGGATGCAAACTCCACTCTCCCTCACACTGATGACATTACCTAGTTGGGTAGGGAAATGTCTGCAATCAAAAAACCAAGCTCAAAGAGCAGTAAGGATTCCACAGTTCAACCCTGATCCATAGATACAGGTAGTCCTCAATTTACAACCATTTGTTTAGTGATCATTCGCAGTTTAAAAAAAGCATTGAAAAAAAGTTACTTACAACTGGTCCTCACATTTATGACTGTCACAGCATTCCCATGATCGTGTGATCACAATTCAGGCACTTGGCAATCGGCATGTGTTTTCAACCACTCGGGTTCCCTGGGGTCATGTGACCTTCCATTTGTGACCTTCCCAGCTGCCTTTCCGACAAGTGAAGACGTTGGGGAAAGCTAGATTCCCTTAACAACCGCACAATCGACTTAACCACTGCAGTGTTTGGCTTAACAAGTGTGGCAAAATAGGTCCTTAAATCGGGCTCAAGTCACTTAACTACTGCCTTGCTTAACAACAGTTAACAATTCTGGTCCCAATTGTGGTTGTAAATCCAGGACTACCCATATTCTCTTCAATTTCAATTTTTGGCCTCTCATGCCAGTGGAGAAACTTCTTCTTCTCTGACAGGATAATGGGGAATGGAAGGATTTATATTCCTTGCAGAGAGCTGGTCACTTGCATCCTTTTAGAGAGTCATTGAAGCACTTGGAGGTTAATCTGAGGATCAGCTGAGGAGTGCTCCTGGTTCAGGGGTGGGCTCTACTTACCTTTATAACCGGTTCGCAATGGGGCCGCACGTGTGTGTGCGCTCTTCTGTGCATGCACAGAACCATTTTGATGACGTTGGGGTCGGTGGGCGGAGCCTCCTGCCGGTTTTACTACCGGTTCTATAGAACCGGTGCGAACCAGAGGCAACTCGCCACTGTCCTAGTTCCTGTGGTCTGCAATTTTTCCTCTGGAAATCCATTCCTACTTCCACACCATTCAACGGGTGTTCATCCCAAATTGTATAGCTAAAAGTTTGTAGATATTCTCAGTTATCCAGATCATGGTTATCCCAAAGGTGCTTTTTCAGGAGGCAACTGGACTTTTTTGTTTTTTCTTTTGAAGACATTTCGCTTCTCATCCAAGAAGCTTCTTCAGCTCTGACAGGATAGTGGGGAATGGAAGGAAGTCCAGTTGCCACCTGAAGAAATACCTTAGGGACAACCATGACCTGGATGACTTGAGAATCTCTACAGACGTTTTACTCAGGTGAGCTCTTAAGAATTTAGAATCACTTTTAATATCCTTTTTCTTTTTGCTCCCTCTTCAGTCCCGTAACAGCTTCCAGCAGGGAGACATCGATGGGGCTCGGCGCTTGGGGAGGGTAGCAAAGCTGCTGAGTATCGTAGCCCTGGTCGGGGGCTTGCTCATCATTGTGGCCTCTTGTGCCATCAATTTTGGAGGTGAGTAGCCAGGAAAACACCACTTGATGGGAGGATTTCTCTAGAGAGTCACGATGTTTAGAGGCTAGGCCAGTGATTCCCAATCTCAGCAATCTTAAAATGTCTGGACTTCAACTTCCAGAATTCTCCAGCCAGTGTGCTGGCTTGGGAATTCTGGGAGTTGAAGTTCACCCTTCTTGGTTGAGAAACACTGTTTTGGATTGCTTCAGAAGATGATTTCAGAATAAAGACTTCCCTTCCTTAAAATGGAGCCTATGTGGATCCTCTGTGGAGTAGACCCCACTGGGGAGGACAAAGCCAGATGAGGTACTGTGTTGATTGTGCTGCAACCATTAATGGCTGCTAATGTTGCCCCAAGAGAAATAAACTGCTATAATCATCATCATCATCTTAATACATTAAAGAATTTTGTTGTGACAAGAAGTTACATAAGTACAGTATAACCCAAAAGATCTACAAAGTGTGTGACATGGAAATCAGCATTCTTATTAAAACCTGCAGCTGCTCTAAAACAGCTCCTTTGGGGTCAGGCTTTTTTTTGAGGGAGACTATAAACCAACCAGAACACTGTGAGACTTTGAGGTAGCCAGATAAGATACAATTATCAATATTAATTATGATAGATAAAGGTCCAGCCTAAGACCTTTACCACTGGTAATAGTAAAAAAGTCAAAACTGCAGTCAAGGCATCAAAGCCACACTCGGTCTATTTATTTATTTCCCGCTGGATGCATCACACGCTGGCCACACCCACCTCCAGTTTAGCAAAGGGGGGAAAAGTCACATCATGTGACCATGTGACGACATGAGTTTGACACCCCTGCAGTAGACCAAATCTTTCTCTCTCTCTCTCTCTCTCTCTCTCTCTCTCTCTCTCTCTCTCTCTCTCTCTATCTATCTATCTATCTATCTATCTATCTATATATATATATATATATATATATATATATATATATATCACCTGTACAATGTATGTAAAAAGAGGGTGGGGCTTAGATCACATGGTCACAACTGCCATTTTGACTTTTTTGACTCTTGCACACCCCTGAATCTCACACCTTCCCTTGATATAAGGTCATGAATCTCCCCCTCGCTTTTCCTAACGGTCTGTTCCTGCATGCTTCGGGTTCCAATGAATACCAGGGGGAGGAAGGTTGAATTGAGCACATCTGAAATATTAATCCCTCATGTTTCTTAACAAATAGTAAATAAATCTCTTATTTTGCTCTCTTTTCCTGTGTTTGTTTTCCCCTCCTCGATTCCTTCGCCCTTATTCCCTTTCCCTCAAACCTTTCTCCTTCCCAGTGTTTCAGTGAAGGTAGCTGTTGGCTGCCACTGCACCCCTAGCCCCAAAATTTCCATCTTTGGAGCGTGGGACCAGTATGACTACAGTGCACCCATCCTTTCTCATCTCACCTGTCCCCCTGCATCCCAGAACCATATAAAGCAAGAGCACAAGGATGGAAACAATAGAAAGAAAGAGAGAGAGAGAGGGAGGAAGAGAAGACAAAGGAACACAAATGAAAGAAAACAGAAGAAAAAACAGCTTGCGTTGTGGTTAAACATTTCCTCTCTCACTGTAGGGAGTTCAATTCCCTCAAAGAAACTGGAACCAACCGCCCCTTTCCATCCGATGGAGAAAGAAGGAAAAAGGAGGAGCAGGATTCCCATGTTCTCTCCCACAGTCTCTCTCTTTCTCTCTCGTTTTCTTTTCATCCATCCAGCCATCTCTTCAACCAGTGACCTGTCTGCCCATCTTCCATCTACTGCCAAATTTCAACAGCAAATAAAACTCTTTCAATCTTCCATGTTTACAATGTTCTCTGCTGGAGAAAAGCTCTTCCCCTCCCCGCCACAATCCTATGAAGATAGTGGGGGAGCATGTTTACACATTTTTGCTGGGAACAAAGGAAAAGAACCAGCCTGGGAAAAGAGGAAAATCTGATCTCTTCTCTGTGGTGTTTACAAAAGACAATGGACAGGGCTAAGAAGGAGTGGGCTGAGAGCCATGAATTGGTTTAGAAACTGGCAATGATGGAACAACTTAGAGCAACTTACCATGACTCCAAATATGTGGTATCCAGGTGGAGGTGAAGCATAACTCAAATAGGTGTGGTTGCACACCCATAAAACATCCAGAAAGGCTTGTATAACCAAACATACCATCCCGCCAATCAAGCGGAAAAGAAATGAGAATGGAGTGGGTGAAATTAGCTGAAGGAATGAATTAAATCAACAGAGAGTCAACAGCTTGAATCACAAGAAGGTAAGAAAAGTATGGTGGAAACGGGTGTGAAAGTGAAGATAGGGAAAAAAGGTGGGGAGGGGGAAACTACACCGAGGCTTCATGCAAAAGAAGGAGGTGATTGGCAGAATGAGTTCTACGGAGGAAAATGTTACAGATCCAACAAACCAGAATGAAATGACAGCAAAAGAAGTTGGAAGAATGGCAACAGAGCTACTAGGAGGACATGAAATACCTGTTTTGGGAATCCTAAAGAAGAAAGTGAGATTGCAATGCTTAAAATGAGAATGTTGGAATGAATGAAAGAAAGAAAGGTTGTAGTAGAAATAAGGAGGGAGGGGAGTGTTAGCCAACATCCCATTCCAAAGTTGAAAGCGTTAAACAGACAAAGACCAACATATTTTCCCTTTTTAAAGGACCATCTGCAGGCAGAAAAACAGGATTGCAAAGCATGAATGTGTGCAGCGTCTTTTGATTGGTGGATTGATGTATTCGACTCAGTGACGGGCTATGGGAAGTGATGAATCTTGGCCAAACACTATTGAGAAAAACCCAAAGTATTTAGCAAATATGAGACAGCTAGGGCAGGAACGTGGCAGGAATTCAGAGTGGCCATAGGGTGAGTTGGGGAACGTGCCAAGAAATTGTGGGGAAAGATAGTTCCAAGATATTATGCTACCTGAAACAAATGATAAAATATATCTTTATGTGCAAAGACAGATTTAAGTATCCCATTGTACTCGAGGAAGGAAGAGTAACTTAAAGAGGATAGGACAGGGTGCACAGCATTCATGGTTTGGCTTTCTAGCATAGTTTACAATACACAGTGACTGTTACTTCCTTAAACCCTTGTGAAGCATCTGCCATCAAAAGGTAATTGTATTATAAATGTTAAATCTTCACTGTAAGGGTTGCTAACAGGATACCTTTCACATATCTAAGTCCAGATCCACCACAATTCCCACCCAGAGGCCATGTCCACACTGGTTGAGCATTATGGGAGTTGTGGTCAAAAATATCTGGAAGAGTCCCGTTGAGGAAACTGAAGTTCAACATGTCTTCCTGTTCAATCCTCTCCTTTGGATCAGATAAGAGATTGTGAATTTCTTTCCTCAGTTGTTTTGAAAGGCAGAAAAGGCAGGGAGAGCAGGCACACAATCTCCCTCACACACAACAGAGGAGTAACTGTACCGTATCTCTCCAACCTCACTGCAAAGAATGAAAACCCTCAGTATTGTGAGGATCAGAACTTAAACAGGAAGGTGTGTGAGAACAAGAAGGTGTGTGAGAACCATGCAGTGAAGCATGAGTGTGTACAAAGTACCTGCAGGAGTGACAATGTAATAGAGAGGAATATATGCTTTCACTCTGTATATATTACACTATTAATTCTTTGTTGGACAAAGGAAGCTTATAATTCTAATCTGCAGTCAGAACTGTGCTATTAAAAACAAAACAGGGCACCCCTGTCATTAGGAATGTATAGATCCTAGTCAACATTATCCACGATGTAAGAGTCAAGTCAAGAAGAAATGGGATAAAACCATCTAGTTACCAACAAGCAAAGAAACAAGACATTCTCTAAGGTGGAGTGGGGAGGAAAAAACCCAGGACTGATGGAAGTTTGCATGAGATTCAGTTTAGAAACCAGAACAGGGGAACATCACTATCCCCAGATTAGGAAAAGAAACTGGGGTGATACAGACCTCTCTTTGGATAGAGAAAAGATCACACCAAGCCAGAGAGGGAAGCACATCTGCCCAGTGGACTCACCAGATGTGACACAGCTGCAGAGGGAGAGAAGGGTTGAATGAAGATGCTTCGTTGAGAAATGTATTCTTCAGCGGCCATATGCTCCATGCAAGCCAGAAAGAAAGACATATTGAAAAGGTTTAGATAGAAAACCACATATGTGATTGGACAGAATCTACTTGGGGGCGGGATGGGGATGGCAGGGGGAGAGAACAGGGAGAGGGAAGGACACCAGCAAAGAAGTTGTGTGTAGCAGACGCTAAATTTACACCCAGCACAATGTGACTTTTATTTCTTTTTTTCTTTTTGGCTTTGGTTTTCCTGCAGACTGTTACACAAAGGGGATGGGTTGGGTTGGGTGGAGACACCGGCAGCCTCATGGCAGCCTCCTTTACAATTTATTCTTGGGAGAGAGCATGGGGCATTATAGGAGGGTCTGAAACTCCTTCCACTATTAATCCCATCTGCATGAGCCTCTGGCCCTGTGCCAACCATCCTGACCAATTAAAACAAGTAAAACCGAAATGGCCCATTTCTCGATGGATGCATGATGCAGCTGGAAGGACAGTTTTGGTAGAAGGAGCCTTCTCGGCCCTGGGGACCATTAATCTCTAGGAGACAGAAGGAGATGGCTGGCAGGGTGGGGCCCAGGGTTGTTGTATTTTGATGTTGAAATGCAAGTATTCTGTCTGCATGTTTTTATATGCTTATATTTGGGGCAGGGAGGGAAATCAGGAACTTGGAAGGGGAGAGAGAAAGAGAGAGAGAGAGAGATGTTAGGGCAGTGAATTTCTCAAGCCTGACAACTTTAAGACATGTGGACTTCAACTTCCAGAATTCTGGGAGTTGAAGTCCACATATCCTAAAGTTGCCAGGCTTGAGAACCACTGTGTGAGGGAGTGAGATTTAAGACAAGATCATAGCATTCAAACATGGATCGATTTGGGGAACCAGCAATTGATGGAGCTGGTAGGTGATTAGGAGTCACTCAGAATGGAAACAGGTTTATCTGATGGAGATGGGGGCTGTGGGTACCAGTAATGATGATGATGGGTAGGGAAAGGACTGGATGTGTTCAAGAAATTTAGATTTCACACAGACATGGATCTAAATTTCATAGATACAGGACAGATTTGAGTTCAGAATAGACCAACCTCAACGGAAGAATCTGAGAACCAACAACTGTCAGTAAACTGGGTTTTGCTGAGCCAAATCCTGTCAACTAAAGAGAAGTTATTTCAACTTCTGGTTGCCAAGAAGGGGAATGGAATAACCAATTCCTCATTTGGAGCAGAAAGTCAGTCCTCAGATCCTAGATCTCTTACTCAATGTGACTTGCTAGTTGACTTAAATCTTAAATGTAATCTTAAATCTGAAGATGTGAGGCCAAAATACTATTCAAAGGACAACACATCCAGGTCATGGTTGTCCCAAAGGTCCTCCTCTTTTTTCAGAAGGCAACTGGACTTTCTGGTTTTTCTTTGAAGACGTTTCAGTACTCATCCAAGAAGCTTCTTCAGCTCTGACTGGATTTCTCATTCACCACCATCCAGTCAGAGCTGTAGAAACTTCTTGGATGAGAAGCGAAACCAGTGATGGTATTCAGCCGGTTCTATCCGGTTCTGGCAAACCGGCAGTGGCAGTTGCGGGAGGCTCTGTTCAACACCCCCTGGATGTCATCACGTCCCGTTTTTGATGCTCTGCGCATGTGCAAAAGATCCAGCGCATGCACAGGTGTCACGAGCGAATGAAGCAAGCATGCACACGTGCACGCTCACATCTGCAAACTGGTAGTGAAGTTAAGTCAATACTACCCATCAGTGAAACGTCTCCAAAGAAAAACCAGAATGCCCAGTTGCCTCTTGAAAAAAAGCACCTTTGAGACAAGGGCGACTTTGGTTGCTAACTACCTGTCCTCCCATCTCTCTGTTAAAAGAAAAGTGGCCCTTGATCTTATCCATTTAAACAGCTACAAGGACAGTCTTGGTAGAGAGAAAATGTGGATTACTGTTACAAGTAGAATTTGGGGTAAGAGTTAAAGAGCTGCTTAGAGTACCATGGGAAAAGATGGAAGAAAAATAGGACCTAGACTGAAGGAAAGGCTAGTTTTTCAGGGGTTTTATGTTTACACATATAAGTTATTGAATGAAAATCACATAACCTATATCTTTGACATGCTGCTTGATAGATGTTTTCATATTGGGGTGGGCAACGTTTTGGATGCTAACTGATAAAACTTTGCTTTAATATACTATTTGGGGAGGAAAATTAGGTTTTTTTTTATGGGGAAAGAACAGGGGAGACTTTATTTTTTATTCCTTCCACCTCCCCTCCCCCACCAAAGTGTAAGATGTAAATTAATTTCCTGCTTTGTAGAGTATTCATTGTGCTTCTGATGGTGCAAGTTGAGGGGCCAAAGCAGAATACCTTATCCATTTCGTCCTCTTTCTTCCTGGGTATATGTGGATAATGAGTTTCCTGTCTATGAGAATCAAATCGTGCCATTATTATAAAACACAACCCAGTATTTAAATCCAGTCTTCCCAAACTGGTATCTCCATAGAGGTGCTCAACTACACGTCTCATCAATCCAAGACAAGAGACTTGAGAATTGAATGCCCAACACATTTGGATGTCATCAAGTTAGAGAAAGCTGAGTTCTAAGCTGCTCATCAAATATAGTTATGAGCTAAAACCTGACCAATAGGTTTAATTATAATTTTGTAAAAGATGATGCTGTTTATTTCCTTACATATCCCATTTGGTTCTTTTTGACATGATTTGTTCTCGTCAATTAAAAGGATTCTAATCAAAACAGGGAAGGGATAGATTGGTCTTGAATCTGGGGTCAATCAACCCTCTTGGTTAGATTCAGAATTCTGTTCCTTTTGCGGGTTGGGTGGGCTCACAAAATATTATAAATCTTAGTACCACTTTGTATAAAGGTAGTGGGTGGGTGGGAGACTGGACATGATCAAATTATAAACTGCTACAGACTTTTTTGTATCAATGCATGAATCGAGTAAATAAACTCAGATGCATGAAGTGGTGTCAAGTGATTCTTCTGAGAAAATTGGGGGATGTCCAAGGCATGTGATGTCACCAGCCTGTGTAAATTCACAGCCTTTTAAAATCCACAATGAAAATGAAAAAGAATGAAAATTCTTGTTAAAGCAGGTGTGTTTATTTCTCACATTGTTCTGTTTCTATGAGTCATAGCTCATAGCCAGCAATTACATAGCCTCGGGTACTGACAATTTTGGCTTCTACATCACTCAGATATTTTCAGATGGATGGCTGGAATTACTGGGGCAGAAACTTTAAATAAGACCCCAGGAGAAGCATGCAGCCCTCAGAAATTATAATGCAACTAACAGATGCAGCCAAGATTCGGAAAACATTGTCCTCATGAGCCAATCTCTCAATGCAAACAAGCACAGAGCATAAAACAACATATGGAACAAAAAATGGAAGTCTGCTGTAGAATTTTGGAAATTGGAAACAGCACCAGCCACATTACAAAATGATGGACACAATAGTCACAAACCAATAATTTAGCAGAGAATAAATTAAGCACATCGGTGAGATTTCAATGGCAGAACTCCAAATAAATAAAGACCAGATACTGGTCTTTTGCAGTATCCAGCTTCCTATTTTTAAAAAATAACTTAAATAGCTTCCCTTTTTTTTTTTTTTTTTAAATTAAAAGAGTCTTCTAAAAAGTTGAGCAAGGCAAAGAGTTGATGGATCTTAAGGGAGCTATCTGTCAGGTCTGTTGACCAATTATCGCATTGCCCAGCTCTACTCAGCATTAGGCATGACTGCATTGTGTTTGTATACACATCTTAGATCAGGGGTGCTTAGATCTGGCCCATGGGGCTGCCCTGGAAACAGCGAAGGACTGGCCCATGGTGACGCTGCCAGCGAAAATGGAGCTCAGGCGCCCGTTTTCGCTGGCAGGTCTCAGGAGGCCATCACAGGCAAAAACAGAGCTCAGGAGCCCATTTTTTGCTAGCAGAGGGTTACAGAAGGCCATGGCAGGCAAAAACCGAGCTCAGGAGCCCTTTTTCACTGGCAGAGGATTGCAGGACGTCGTCGCAGGTGAAAATGGAGCTTGGGAGTCCATTCTCGCTGGCACTCAGGCCACCAGAGGCACTCGACACGAGTGACATTGAGCTGACCAACACCCTCCCAGCCCTCCCGAGGTCAAACACAACCTTAATGAGGCCTCAATGAAATAGAGTTTGACATCCATCTTATTGGGTGTGCTTTAATGGACCTTTAGGTCCATCCCAGTAAGTGCAGTGCCTATACAGAACATTATCCTATAAGAGAGGAATTCATCTTTAAATGCAAGTTTGCGCAGGTTCTCTGTGTATCAGTGTAAACTTTAATGTTCACAGATCCTCAAATGATTACCGTGTTAAAAAATTAAGATGATCAAAATTTCAAGAGACTTTTAGTCATTTCTTTTATATTTTGGGGCATCTGTGACATTACAGGAAAAAAAATTGCTGATCAGTGCTGCAAAGTGTTCTAAATATTCTATATAAAACTTAGCAACTGAGCTAGCAAGGCCTTTATCTCTTCAAATGCAGTTCTTTTTAGCCCTTTCATGATAGGAAAACAAAACGGCATGTAACCATTTGACTTTAATTTCTGCAGCCTCTTGGGAACGGAAAAGGTGTCTTGGCAAGATTTGGGTCTTGGCAGAATAACAGATTACCTCTTTTATCTTCATTCTACTTCCTCCCTTAGGTCTTGTTGACAAAGAGGCTTAATCTGCAAACATCAGCCTATTTTATGGCTCCTCTGAGTCACGAATGTTGGCTTCTCCTATATTGAACACATTTATTCTTCCCCCTTGACCAGGTGGTCAATCTTCTCAGTCTCCAGAAGACCGTTAAATACTGACTAGGAACATTTGCCATATTTATCTTGGCTAGTCATCCAGATCCTTCCGTAAATAATCAGAGACTACCAAATTAAGACACTCAATCAGATGATCAGGTGTACAGACTTTATTACCATAACCTTATTCTGCTGAGTGAGAAAGAGGTTTTTGTATCGGACAAAAGTTTTACACTTTAAAAATCTATATACAATATATAGACACTCAGGTTTGAAACGTGCAGCAACACCACTGTGGGAGGTTTAGGAGAGTTGTCAGCATCAGCCCCTCCTTGGAGGAGACAAAGTGAGAACATTACAAGGAATGTCTATGGAGATTCTCAGTCATCCAGGTCATGGTTGTCCCAAAGTTGCTTTTTCAAGAGGCAACTGGACTTTCTGTTTTTTCTTTGAAAACGTTTCGCTTCTTATCCAAGAAGCTTCTTCTTCTGAAGAGAAACATCTTCAAATTAAAAACAGAAAGTCCAGTTGCCTCTTGAAAAATCACCTTTGGAACAACATTACAAGGAAGGACCAAAAATAATCATTTCAATTTCAGGGATCTTCTTGCAGTTTAAGCAAAAGAAACTACATGGTAATGGCCTTCTAATTTGGCTCAGTCAAGTGTTTTGCGTGATAGCCTTCATGTTTGGTTCCTTCAAAACAGCCACCATGATTAAGCTATGCCTAAGCCTTAGGTATCTCTCTTCTATTATGGCCAAAAACATGGGGTGGTTATGTTGTGAATTTCTAATTCTGTAAGCTGCCCAGAGTTACCATATATGAGTTGGGTGGCCATATAAATTTGTTTAATAAATTAAAAATCCTACCTCTATCACATCCATCCTTTATTTCTCTTGACCTTTGGTCCTAATACAAGCATGAAAAGGGGAGAAGAAGATATTTAACAGGTAAGTAGCTACCATGCTAATGTACCGCTTGCTGAAAGCCGCATTAAGAAAGCTTGCTAATGTGCTAATACAGAAACCAGCGAGGAAAGAAGATAAATGATTGTCTATATAAATGAGTTACTAACTACCTCAGGAAAGTACTGAATGTTCAAAATCTTGGAGAAAATAAATAGGTAAATACATCTCTGCCATCGGTAAATGTCAGAATCGTGGTGAAGACAGAGAGGGCAAAACACAAGAAGGGCAAAATTGTTGCTGGAAGTTGTCCTTATTTCACTTCAGTATTGCACAGCACAATGAAATGTTTGAAGAAAAGAAAAGTACAGCCTTCAGCTCAGTCAATCTGAATTGCTTGAGAAATGAAGCAATTTGCCTGGTCTATGTATTTCTAATAAAATATTTACAAGAGAAAAGAGCAAATAATCTGGATCATGAGCTGAAGTACAAAAGTTAAACTGAACAAAGATAATCCCAAGGAAATAATGCAAGTTATGACCTTAAGACCTCCAAGGTCAATAAGTAGCCTGCCAATACTGTATCCCTTTTAAAGCTGTGTATTAATATTGTCCAAAATAAATAACTTCCAAATGGTTGCTCCATGTCTTACTAGATATATTTGTAGAATACAAGGGGATTAATACATTCTTTTCTTCAGAGATCTGTTCCTATACAGTTTGGGAATGAAAAAAAACCTAGTCCAGATTTCTTCTTCATTTTTAAGCAACAACATCCTAGTTTGGTTTATTATATCAAGACAAGTGCAGTCCTATATTTCGTTCTCCCCAAAGATACCCCAAAAATGTGAGGTAAAAAGTTTTCAATTCTAAAATGACAAGCTCTTCAGCTGCTCCTCAAAATGGTGGATCAGGATCCTCCTCAACAGTCAATTTTTAACTCAACTGTTCATATTATTATGGGAGTAAAACAGGAAGAAGGCAGGAGGAGCAGGAGTTACCCTATCATCTCACACAGATATCACAAAAACATAATGGAAATATGAAGTGATCACATCAAAGAAAAACTGCACAACTGGAGTGACTGATCTGAGGCAAAGTCCTCATCCATTCATCATGAAGGTTAGGAGCTGATCACTCTGGAAGACCCTTTCCCACAACCTTGAAATCCTACATCTTCTTTGCCCGTTCAGAAGCATCTAAGGCAGCCATATTACACGAGGCCGAGACCAAGTGAATTAAGCTGATGAAACTCTTGGTGATAGCAATGGGGGTACAAACCCATAGAATCAAGCGATAGAGTCCGGCGTATCCTGACAGGACTGGAAAGCAGAAGAACAAAAATGAGTGGGCTGGAAAAATGTCCAACATATTCTTCAGTTCTAAGGCCTCCCCTCCCCTCAATCCCCTCAGCTTTCTGTACTCACTTTCTGGCCCTTCACCGAAACACAACAAGTACAACATGCAGTAGAAGAGTTCATTACCGGCACACATAATGAACAGAACAGGCTGAAAGGAGAGGAAGGAGAAACTACATCAGATCAAACCAGGCAAGAAATGGCAGCCAACAGAAGCCAGTTTAAATCAGATGGTGTTTATGAGGTCATTGGCTGAGATTGCATGACAAATCATGATGATTTTATGGAAACATCTTTCTATATTTGTACTAGAAAATAACCTATTGCATAATGTATGATATCTCAGAATGCACAAAAATTCATAAAAACAGCACTCTTTCAGGAAAGAGATGGCTTGGATTGCCATCTGATTAAAAGGGAAGAAGGAAAGCAAATTGTACTATTGTGGCCCATAGTTGAACTGTGGGGCCCATGGTGATCTCTGACCTTGGTTGTTTTCTTGCAGACATTTCATTACCCAACTAGGTAAGATCATCCGTACTACATAGTGCTAGACATCAGTGCTAAATAGTGCTTCTAGGAATGATGATCTTACCTAGCTGGATAATGAAACATTTGCAAGAAAACAAGCAAGCTCAGGGAGCACCAAGGACCCTACAGAAGCAAATTGATTAGTAAGGGATCCTATAACACTGGAGCCATCCCAAACAAGAGTCTGGCCTCACTTCAAATGGGAAGGAGGCATTACCCAACTCATGATACAAATAGGTTTACATAGGTTTTAAGCCCTTTGATAGTCAAAGTCAATGTCTTAAATTAGCCTCACTGGAAGTCTCCTAAATTGCTACCTTTCCTCCAATTTGAAGGAAATGATTCATGAAAATGAACATGCTAGAACAATGATTGATATGGCTGGAAATGCCTCTTCCTACAGCAAGTCTTGGGCATTGGGAGTGGGGTAGAGTGGGATGGGCCGAATGGTGAAAGATATGTCACACTGCAAAATCCCCCATTCTGTTCTTCTATCACAGGGATATTAAACTCAAGGCCCGCTGGCTGGATCCGGACTGTGAGGTGTTTAACTCTGGCCCGTGGGGCTGGCCTGGAAATAGCAAAGGATCAACCCGTGGTGCCTCTACTGGCGAAAACAGGGTGTGTGTGTGGGGGGGCTGCATGTACCCCACCCACCCCGTTTTCGGCCTGGACGACCTCCTGCAGCAATCTGCAGTGCTCCGTTTTGGCCGACAGAGTGCTGCAGGAAGCATCCATCCCGTCTCTCCCCCCTTCCCCCCTCCCCCACTGCGGAGAACTACAATGCTGATCCGGCCCTCAAAGAAATCCAGTTTGACACCCCTCATCTGTGATGTCACTGGCAATTAAATGACAGATGGATCTTGCACTGCGATGTCACAATGCACATTTCTGTCATTTTAGCAAAAATCAGTTTAATGTGGAGGCCAATGGGAGTGGGAAAATTTATGTGAACGCAACTGTAATATTCATTAAAAATGAGAAATGACCCCTTCTCTTCAAAACATTTGGAAATAAGAGAGGAAACCTAAGACAGAATTTCATAACAAAATTGGCGAGAAAAGGCCGAGAGTGAGGTTTTTGGTTTTGAGAAAACAGAAGGAGAGGAAGGTTGGGATGGGGTTAGCAATGCAATGATGTGATGACTTCAAAGAGACAATTTTTGTGACACTCACCCGTGAGGTGTAATACACTCTCAAGATCCGGTTTCCTGTTAAGTCAATACTCTTATGGCTTTCTCCACCTTTCACCACAGTGCTAAGGGAGGCGGGGGCAGAAAATTAAAATGGGAATTAAGAGTATTCAGTTCTACCTCAACTCCCCTCTCCTTGTTCCTGTATATCTCTTCCATACGAAATCCTCCCAGAAAAACTTTCTCTGCTGCACTGGAAGCATATTCTAACTTTCACATCACATTTTTCTGGGTTGTGTATGCTTTAAAAACATCAGATCTCTTCCAACTCTTTAAACAATATTAATTTTATTAATTTTAAATTTTTTCTATGCTGTCCTTTGGAAGCAAGCTTTCTCATGGCACTTATCTCCATAAAAGAGAGTCAGTTTCTCTTAGTGCAGGGATATCAAATTCAAGGTCCGGGGGCCACATCCGGCCTGCAGGGTGCTTAGATCTGGCCCACGGGGCTGCCCTGGAAACAGGAAGGACCAGCCCATGGTGCCTCTGCCAGTGAAAACGGAGCTCAGGGGGGCTACGCGCAGCATTCCCAAGCTCCGTTTTTGCTGGTAGAGGGTTTCAGGAGGCCGTCGCAGCTGAAAATAGATCTCAGGAGCCTGTTTTCACTGGCAGAGTGCTCGGGCCACCACAGGCGCCCCTGACCCGAATGACGTCAAGCTGACCATGTCCACCTTGCCCACGCCCATTCCAGCCCCCCAAGATCAAACACAACCCTAATGCAGTCCTCAATAAATCGACTTTTGACACCCCTGGTTTAATGGTTAAGGCATCAGGCTACAAAGCAGGAGACTATGAGTTCAGGTCCTGCCATAGCCATGAAAACTGCATGAGTGACTTTAGGCCAATCACTCTCTCAGCCCAACCCACCTCAAAGGGTTGTTGTTAGGGGGGGGGAAAGGAGGAGGAAGGTATGTTGGTTATGTTCGCCACCTTATTTGTAAACATAAGGTAGCCAATAAATAAACAAATAAACAAACAAATCCGATGGACAGTATGAGACTTAGAGAACTTCGCCAAAGGCCACCTAAATATTTTTTTTTTAATAAAGGAGAGATGTGAAAGACAGCTCTGTTTGTAGCTCCATCTAAAATACAACCCCATGTCTCAGCAGAAGAGCCATCAAATGGAGCTTTGTCTCAAGAAAAATGTACAGGATTACGGGTACTCCTCAATTTATGACCACAATTGAGCCCAAAAGCTTTTGTTGTTAAGCAAGACAGTGGTGACTTTTTGCCCCATTTTACAACTTTTCATGCCCCAGTTGTTAAGTGAATCACTGCAGTCAAGTTACTAACAAGGTTGTTAAGTGAAATTTGGCTTCTCCATTGACTTTTGCTTGTCAGAAGGTCACCAAAGGGGAATCACATGACCCTGGGACACTACAACTGTTGTAAGTATGAGCCAGTTGCCAAGTCTAAATTTTGATCACGTGACCACGGGGATGCTGCAACGGTTGTAAGTGTGAAAAATGGCCATAAGTGACTTTTTTCAGTGCCGTTATAATTTTGGATGGTCACTAAGCAAATTGTTTTAAATCCTATATAGCTCTTGCCTTTACAACAGTGGTCCCCAACTTTTCCGGCCTGGCAGGGGGAGGGAGAGGGAGAGGGAATGGGTCTGGGTGAGTGGCAGGTGCAGATGAGTGCACGCAGCTCTATTTGTGCAAGCGCCGGGTGCATGTACCCGCTGGTCACACAAATGGAGCTTCGCGCACGAGGGCCCCCCAGTCATGCAAGTGGAACTGCGGGCATATGCTTGCCCGCCGCTTGCATAGTGTAGTTCTGCACCGGTTGCACCCTGTAGTGGACTATGGCCGGGGGTTGAGGATCCCTGCTTTACAAGGTGAAAGGATTTTTAAAAATGTGGAGGTAATACAAACATTTTGTGCTTGCAATGAAAACAAAATGAAACTTTGATTTTGTTTTTGCTAATTAGGTTTGTTGTTATAGAAACTATAACTAGTTTCTAGTATGTACTGTTGTGCAAATGTAAAAAACTGAGGTTGCAATGTTTTCTTCTACTGCGCAAAAGAGAGTTGGAAGTTGGTGCCTTTTTCCTTTTCCCTCTTTACACCATCTTTTTTTCTTTTCTCACCCCCTCCCCCTAGTTTTCTATTACTTCTTTTGAATTTCTCTTTGCATTTTATATTTTGATAAACTAATAAAAATGTGGAAAAAAATGTGGATGTAATACAACAATATGCTCCTCCAATCTGAAGACCAAAGTGATGATAAATCTGAAGAGAACTGTCTACATCCCTTTTCAAGGCAAGACTGAACTGGATTAGCGTTTGAAGGAGGAGGATCTAAGTAGAGAAGAGCCATTCTACCCATCGCTATTTAGAGATGTTTTTCAAACTTGGCCACTCTAAGAGGTATGGACTTCAACTCCCAGAATTCCCCAGCCAGGACTGTATCGGTATCTAAATTTGATAGACAAATAAATAAATAAATGGCATTCAGCTCTGCATTTTCTCCAGCCGATATACCTGTGGAGATGTAGCCAATGGGAGGCCACATCAAGACTCATGCTCAGCTGAAACCAGACGGCAGACTCTGGATACAGCATTGCCAGGTTCACCAGCAGACACATGGTAGTACAGCGGTCAGTCAGCATGTCCAGCATGGCCCCAAAGCGGGTGCCTAGGAGGAAGGCCACAGGTTAGGAGAGGAACAGTGCTTGGTTTTTGTTTTGTTTTGTTTCGTTTATTTGTGTCTTTTAGTATAATTTTATTAAGTAAAAACAACAGGGAAACACAGAAAAAGGGAGAAACATACATGTAATCACCTATATAGCAACATAAGCTCCAATTCCTACTTATTGATCCTTTTTTAAAAAAAATAATAATATTAAAACTGTTGCATAAGCTCCACACTGAAGTAAGGGCCGAAACAAGAATTTCAAAAGACACTGCGTGTCCAATACAGGTAGTCCTCGAGTTACGATGGTTCACTTAGCGACAGTTCAAAGGTACGACACCACACCCACAAGTACTTACAACACAGTCTCAAACTTACGAATGTTGCTGTACCACGGCAATCGATCGCCCCTTAGGACCAACCACAGAGACATTGCAAGACTCCCCCACAGGGGGAGTTCCACACCCACACCCACCTAACAGGCACTGGCCCTGCTATGCTAGCCCACTGGTTCCTCCCCACTCCATTACCTTTCAAAGATCCAGAGTTCCAGAAGAGGCTGATGGCTCATTCTGTCTCCTCTCCAGCTTCTCTACTGCAGGGTTTGTGCAGCCAGCATGGTTTCTTTGACAGCTCCCGGTGCTCCAAAAGTGGAATGGTGAGAGCAGAGGCAGAGCGGGATGAGTGCAGGCCACCCGATCTGCTTTTGGAGCGCTGGGTAGTCTCGGTGAGACTGAAGGAGCATGAGATCGTGCCTCTGAAGGCCTCTGTCCCTTTGCAAAAAATTTTCATGCAGAGGATAGAGACCTGAAGGAGCGCGAGATTGAATCCCCAAAGGTTCTGTTCTCTGCGCCAAAAGCTTTTGAAAAGGGACAGAAAGCTTCGGGGTGGAGACGGACACGATCTTGCGCTCTTTCAGATCTCTGTCCCTTTGCAAAAGCTTTTGGCGCAGAGAATAGAAGCCTTTGGGGGCGTGATCTCACATTCATCAGGTCTCTATGCTCCGTATCAAAATTTTTTGCAAAGGAATGGAGGCAGTGGTGGGATTCAGTCGGTTCGGGCTGGTTCCTGTGAACCAGTAGTTAAATTGCTGGCTGGCCCTGCCCCTTCCAGGAGTGCCCACGTGCCCCATTTTGGCTCCCAGGTAAGTGCAGGGAGGCCTCCTAGGCCCAAAACAAGGTGTGTGGGTGTGTGTGGCATGTGCCCCCTCCCACAGCCCGTTTTTGCTCCTGTCACACCCCCTGGCCATGCCCACAGAACTGGTAGTAAAAAAATTTTGAACAGAGGCCTTTGGAGGCACAATCTCACGCCACTTCAGAGTCACCGAGGCTGCCCGGCAGTCCAAAAGCAGATCGAGTGTACTCCATAGGCACCCTCAGCCAAGCTGAGCAGAGCGTACTTGTCCCGCTCTGCCACTGCTCTCACTGCTCTGCTTTTGGAGCGCTGGGAGCAGGTGAAGAAACCATAGCAGAGATGCTGGAGAGGAGACAGCTCACTTGATCATCAAGATCTTCAAAAGGTGAGTCTCCATAGGCCCAGTGCCTGTGGAGACCTGGTGGGGCAGGATTGGGGGGGGGGGACCATATTTCAGTGGATTGGGGGAGGCCTTGGATGGTCAGAAACACTGAGATACGTGATGCACACTTAACCACCTGTGCATTTGATTAGCGAATGCATCGGGTAAAGGAGGAAGGGAATCACATTAATTTGACATGATCCAATTAACAAATCCTTGGGTTACGAATATAATTGCAATCATAAATCAAGGATTATCTTATTATCATTAAGAAAAATGACCATGCTCAGCTTGGCACCTGAGGTCTTGGGCCCAAACTCCCAGAATTCCCTAGCTTAGTCTTCCCTCTTCAAATGGTTGTCAAATTGCTTTTGACTTGGTGAATCAACATGTCTTTTGTTCCAAGTAGCTCAGTAAAAAAACAGCCAGAACTGCTGGGATGAATTATATCTTGATAAGTAATGCAAACATGATTTAATTTGTGGAAAGCTGTTAATTTTCTTCTTTTTTTCCCCCATGAGTCAAGAGTTTCAAGAGGGGAGTTGAAAATTTTTGGAGACCAGCATGACAAATCCAAAAGTACAAATGGAAGTATAACTTAAATAAGCTTAATTGTTTAATTAATCCATTACTTGGTTATTTAATTAGGGATGAGTTAAAGAGAAGCCATAGGAAAGGAAGATATTACAGCTCTTTGTCTTTCATGTTCACATCTGCAATGGATTGTATAGATTGTTTTATTGGACTTTTTAGACTGCAGGAGTTCTTAATTTATTTGCTATAAATATTTATATATAAGTCTTTCAGTAAATCCCAATAAGTAGATGTTATAGTAAATCCTTGTTTAAATCAAACAATTAATCAAACTATCATAGAAATATAATTTGAGTAGAAAAAAGCTGGCAAAATCTAGTATTCATATTTTGATATAAATACTACAGGCCGAATCCTCACCCCACATACTCAAGGTAAGGTTTGCACTGTCTTGATTTCCATGTGCATGAATTACAAGCTTCTAAATAAGAAATACTCCTCAGCTGTAGAGAATTCCCAGACGATCCCTTCTAAAGCAATCAAACAACACTATGATGTAGTTCAGAATCTTCCTTCCTAAATAACAGATTTGGGAAGAGGGCAGGAGAGAGCATCAATGACAATCTAGTCAACTCAAAAATATATTGAGATTTCTTCACTGTTGTAATCAACCACAGTGATATGCCAGTTCTCTTCTGGGAAAGAGTCGACGGCTTAATGGTGGATCACATATTTTAAAGATGAAAGTCAGCTAAAAAGGATCAGGTCCCTCAGTCGAGAGCTGGTGATGCTCTCTGAGGTAAAGCAAGAAACATAATAATAACAACTTTATTGTCATTGTACGTGTATACACAGTATACCCATGTCAACATGGAGTTTGACAGCCAAGACTTTGTCCTGGACCTATGATTCCTTCCTTCCTTCTCCTTCCCTCCCTCCCTCCTTCTCTTCTTCCCTCTCTCTTTCCCTTCCTCGCTTCTTTCCTCCCTCTTTCCCTTCCTCTTTCCCTTCATCCCTTTCTTTCCCTTCCACTCTTCTTCCACTCCCCCTCCCTTTTCCCCCCTTCCTTCCACCCCTGCTATTACCCTGGCATAGTCCAGGCCTACCTTGGTTAAGAGCCCGGGCAGCATGGCCATCAAAAGCATCGAGGAAGCCACTAAATAGGTAGAAGAATGATGCCAGCGAGGGGGAGGTTGGCATATAATAAAAAGCAATACAAGCGAAGATTATACGAGCATAACCTGCAAAAGAAAGGCAAGCAAGGTCAGTCACTGTTCTTCAACTCTGCACCCCACGCAGAGACCACAGTCTCTAGCTCCCCAAATTTCAGCTAAACCCACCCTCCAATCACCTACTTTCTTGGCATTTGGGATTCCCCAAATTTCTCAAATCCTTGGTGTGTCACTTTTCCATCATATACGGAAGATGTTTTAGAGACTTTTCTGGGGGGAGTGGGAAGGGGGGAGTACAATCTTGTTCAACCATGAGGACCCAGATTGTTGGGGGCGGGGCAAGATGCTGACTCTGTAAACCGCTTAGAGAGGGCTGTAAAAGCACTGTGAAGCTAATCAGATAAGCAGTTGGCTTGTTTGGTGATGTTTCCCCAAAGTTGTGGCTTCCCTTAGGGGAGAGGGTTATCAGGTTAAAGCCGTTTTTTCTCAACCTTGGGTGACTTTAAAATGTCTGGACTTCCACTCCCAGAATTCTGGGAGATACTGAATTAAAGAGATTTAATTAATTGAAGAGATACTGAATTAAAATATAAGCCAAGCAAAAGGGAAGAGATCAGAACTAGAAGGCAAAAATATAAGCAGGTCCACCACGCCCAGCATTTTGGGACAGTCCCATCACTTACCAATGAGGTTGGGAACGAAGAGGAAAATATTCTCTTGCTTCATCTTGCTTGAGCTGCTGCGCAGATCGGAAATGCCCTGCAAAACCAGCCTAGTCGTCCACAGTCCAAGACCAGGCTGAGTTCTCAGGCGACACCCATCGCGCCCCTCCCAGGAGCCCCTCCCGCCTCCATAAGCCTCCCTATCCGCTCCTTGCCCGCAGTAGGAGAGCGGAAAAGCCGCCTCCGTTGACAGGCGTTTCGGGCACTTCACCACCGCTTCCTGGTCTGCACGGTCTCTGAAGCAGGAAACGCCATTTGTAAACCGGGAGAGGGGGGAGGCGTTTTAATTATAACGAATCATTGCGCGGAGTGGGGTTGGGGAGGGTTAACCCCTCCTTCCATAAGGCTCCTGTCTCGTTCTTCAAGTTTCAGGGTTGCTATTTTGGGTGCTTTTCGGTCCCTCCCTCGGAGCATTTCCTGCGGTAAATGCGCTTGAGGTTCCCCCAGAATTTCGGATTGGTTTAGTCCAACTTTCGAAAAGACTAAAGAGATGAGAAGGAATCTACTCCTCCCTCCCACCCCCTTAGTTGGTCTTAATCCTCTGTCTGCAACACAGAAAGCCTTTTTTTTTTTTTTTTTTTGCAAGTTGGAAGCGATCAAAAGATGTTTTTGTAAAAGAAGAATGACACTTTTCATGGGTCACTCTAGAGTTTTAATGGTTCCCTTAGTGCAGTGTTTCCCAATCTTAGCCATTTGCAAGATCTGTGGACTTCAACTCCCAGAATGCCCCATTGTTGGCTGGGGAGTTCTGGGAGTTGAAGTTTCAAATGGCTTAGGTTGATAAACATTGCCTTACTTAGTGGATCCTGTTTACCAGAATCCATAAAAGCAAAATGAAGAGCATCAAATGCAGGGCCTGTCTGTATGAAGGTCCCTGTAATGTCTCAGGAAAATTCAGGGCATCAACCCACTTCATATTTTCTCATAAATTTTTCAGATTGTGAGCAAGGTAGTTGAAAGCAATGCCTTAGCAATGGTTTGAATAGCATGTGTTCAGTTCTAGGAGTAGAAAAATGATAATCTTTACTGCTTTCACACATTTTGCTGCTTTATAGAGAAATATATTATCTACTGCTTTTTAAAAATAAATTATACATGTAGCATGAGTGCTTTTTTTAAAAAAATAATCAGAATTATTGACTTACAAAATGGACATGTAAATTGAAAAATTGCTGAAAATAGACAAAATGGTTGTAAAAGATTTTCAAGAGACTGATAAGAGAAATTTCTTTACATCCAAAAATCTCTTCATTATTATTTTTTTTTTTACAAAACCTTTAATTTGAAAATAGGATAATATTCTGATCAGTAATTTTAAAGTAAAGTCCTCAGGCGTATTGATTTAAAATACATGGTGAGGGAATACAATGTATACATTGGAAAATTTCACCAAATGTGACTTTTCTTGTCAAATGGTGCCCTGATAGAAGAACAGAAGATGACTAGATAAGCCTTTTAAACATCTAGATCTAAATATCCTATATAATCCTACACGATCAATAAACAATTGGTTTCAGGCCAGTCATTCTCTCTCAACCCAACCAACTTCACATGGTTGTTGTGGGGAAGAAGAGGTGAAGGATTATGTATGTTTGTCATCTTAAGTTACTTAAGATGGCAAACATATGGTACATACTTAAGTTACTTAAGTTACAAAGTAATATAGGTGGAATAAAAATCTGATAATTAACAAACCAACCAACCAACCAACCAATCACAGTATAATGAGAAAACAGCTGGGAAAGAAAGAGATTGGCCGGATATGTTCATTATACTAAGCAATTTGATTAATTATAGTTATTTAAATAAACCACAATTGGCTGATTTCATACTAGATATTGAACCAAGGCCAAATAAACCAGTTTAGGACTGAACCGATTCATTCACTTTAGCCATTCAGCCTACTGTTGGTAGTGAATGCTGTAGTTTCAGGCCTCTGTTACAGTTACCAACCAAATAGTTGACATTGTAGAAAAAGAACTGAATTAGTCTATGCCCATGATGGCGAACCCATGGCACGCGTGCCACAGGTGGCACATGGAGCCATATCTGTGGGCACGTGAGCATTACCCTAGCTCAGCTCCAGCGTGCATCGGCCATCTGATTTTCGGGCCTTCCGGGCCCAACAGAAATCGGGAAATGGGCCATTTCCAGCCTCTTGAGGGCCTCCGGTCCCACTGGAAGTAGGGAAATAGGCCATTTCCGGCCTCCAGAGGGCCTCCTGGGGGGGGAGGAGAAGGCCGTTTTTGCTCTCCCCAGGCTCCAAGAAAGCCTCTGGAGCCTGGGGCCAGCAAAAAACAGGCCTACTTGAGTCTTCGGAGAAAGGCGGCATACAAGTTGAACAAATTAATAAATAAATAAACTACTGGGCCCACCATACCATCACGTGCTAAAAGCGAGGGGAGCATAGGGGGGTGGAGCGCATTGAATTATGGGTGTGGGCATGTGCACACACAACCTCCCCACACTCCCCCCGCTTTTGGCAAGCGACAGCAAAAAGGTTATCCATCACTGGTCTATGCTATCCAAAACCCACATAGAGTTTGAGAGCACTTTTCAAACTAACAAATATTATTAAATGTATATGCCTTCATGCTCCCAGACTTATTTTTTATTAAAGTTTATTACAGTATAAAATACAATAAAGATTGATCACTTCCAAACTTTATGCTTCAAATAGAAAGGAAAAAATGAAACATAGATGTTAGCATGAACGTTGAATAATTGTGTAGTTATAGAAATGGCTGGTTGTAACTAAATATAAATAAATATAAATATAAATAAAAGTTAAGTCTGTAATTGTAATTAATATTTTATTTTACAGATAGTCCTCAACTTACAACAGTTTGCTTAATGACTGTTTGAAGTTACAACAGAATTTTAAAAAGTGACTTGACTGTTTTTCATACTTATGACACTTGGCAACTGACTCATATATATGATGGTTGCCATATCCCAGGGTCACATGATCACCTTTTGCAACTTTCTGACAAGCTAATTCAATGGGGAAAGCAGATTCACTTAACAACTTTATTACTAACTTAGCAACTGCAGTGATTCACTTAACAACAGTGGTAAGAAAGGTTGTAAAATGAGGAAAAACTCAATTAATCTCTCACTTAGCAACAGAAATTTGGGGCTCAATTGTGGTTGTAAGTCAAGGACTACTTGTACTGGAAAGTCAATGCTTTTTTATTTTCTTCTTTTTATCCTGCACTTCATTTTACCCTTTCCTAATCTTTATTTTCGTTGTTTTTCATACTAAAATAAGCATCTTGATCACCAAAATAGTTAAAAATAAATATTCTGGCTATATATAAAAGAGCAATGGCTAGAATTTGGTTTGTCTCATTTATATTTTATTTATATTTATTTGATAGGAGAAGAGGTAACAATCCTGAGAGGTTCTTCATATCTCTTCTTAGATTGGGTCAAAATTGACCTGGAATGGCTCTTGGGAAGGAAATGCAAACGATTTATAGCCATTCTGTCCAGCTCAACCTTTGTTGCAATAATGCTGGACCACTAATAATTAAAAGTGGCATCCCTTAGTTTGCTTTCAGGTCTTGTAGAGAGGAACGGAAGTGGACTTCAAGCTGATTGTTTTGGATTGTACCTAGAACATACAGCACATACAGCTGGGCAGCTTATCCAGTATCCTTAGCTGTGGTCTCTGGCTGGTTGTTAGTGGTGTCGTTGTCCAAATTCTGTTGCTGGGGGGCAGTGTTGCAGAGAGTCCCTTTGCTCAGAAACTTGCTGCACTCAACCTGGTGAGAGACAACAGATTGGGAGCTGCAGTGTAGGAAGGGGAGGAAGTGAAGGTTTTATTTCTTTATTTTCTTTCTTTCTTGGCAAACAGTCTCATGACCCTGATCATAAGCAGTGGGGAAAACCAGAGATTTAGTGTGGATCAGACTGAGTAGAAATAGAGTTGCCACCTTTCCAAGAGGCACTGGGATGTAGCAACATAGAAAACCAGTGATTGGGTTTGAGTTTTTTATTTGTTTTGTTTTGTTCTGTTTTCTTTTTTAATTAATTCATTTATACCAAAATTAATTACAAAGAAGATTGGCGGATATACTCAGGTTATATAGAAATGGTAAACAGAGGCTCCTGTAAATAACGGGATCAGAAACGGATGAAATACAAGAAGTATGATCCTGCTACTAGAGATACATTTAATATATTTGGGAAAGAACATTCTAGTTTTCTCAAGTTTGCATTGTAAGAAATCTTTAGGTTTTAGCATGCTATCTTTATTCCACAGGTAGCCTCCCAAATGCCATTTAGTCAGAGGTTAGGAAAATAAACTTTCAAGCTAACATTTTTGCATTTCATAATTTAGGAAATTAGATGAAAATGGAGCCCTACTTTTTTGTGGTGTGAGGGATTTCTGTCTTGAATCTCCAATGGCTGATTCTCCTCTTCATCTGTCCCATAGTCATTCTATGATAAAGGGAAAAAAATAAAATTTTGGGATGAGGATCAGCTACAGAATATGATCCCTCTTGGTCCTTGGATCTGAGCTGTTCCTGAATCAACTTTTATTAGGGTTCAGCTGATAAATTTCTGAAAATATCCCAACCATAGAAGCCTCACTTTATTCAGAGTAACACCTTCCTGAAAATTCATTCAAGACAATTTATTTACACAATTATTTTTTTCATTGATCTTATTACAGAATAAATGCTGAGGAACACCAAATCTATTCTCATGTAATCGCAATGACTATTTTATCCCCCAAAATACAGTAAATATTCTTTATATGTGATGTAAAACAAAAAGCAGACCCCAGTCTGTTCTTGATTTACGGCTTGTTGTATGAACTCAGTTAACCATCACTTATTAAAGGAATCATAGTTAAACTGTGTTTCCATTTAGTTCCTATTTCTAGTTTTGCCTGTGTCCATAATCCTTTCTTATGATAAAACTATGTCAGTTCTCATCATGGATCCCTACTGCTGAGAACATGAGACGAAGGCTTCTTTGAGTAACAAGGAGCACCTTTGACTAATGTTTCTAGTTCTTTTGAAAAAGTGAAAGTTAGAATATTCTGGACATGTGATGAAAAATACGGGATATTTCATTAATCCTCCAGGGAAAAATTGAAGGCAACGAGGTCCAGGCAGAAGAAGAGGAGGTCCAGGAAGCCAAGAAGATCATGGCTTCCAAATCTAAGAGACTGGTTTGGACAAAACTCAACAGCATTTTTTCGTGCTGTTGATAAAAATAGGATCGCCAACACAATCGCCAATGTCCGATAACGGATATGGCACAAGAAGAAGTTCTTTTGAAGTAAGGAAGTAAGAATGTGGATTACACTGGCCAGAGATAGAAATTGCCCAGAAAGCTGAATTTAATAACCTGAAAACTCATTATACTATGGCAAACACATCCCTTATAATAAGGTCATGCTAAGAATATTATAGGGTGATATGAATTGTTACATGATATATATAAAGTTACTAAGCCTGCTTTCCAAATGCTTGATGACTCAAATGATGCTAGCCAATTGAAGAACACATTCCAAATCCAATACGTTTGTGTATCTAAAGTGATTCCCCCCCCCTTTAAGGGGTCTCTCACCTTGTATTCATGGGAGATCTCGCTTTTACTTATGCATAAATAATCTACCTTTCTATCTTGGATTGGTGAAGGGCACACTGGGCTAAGAACCTCACTGTTGTTCATGTTTAACCGTACTTAATATTTTCCCCATTGGTTAGAGAAATTCTTTTTAAAATTTCTCATTATTTATGTTAACAAGGCACAATGTGTATTTAAAAGGTGATTCACATCCATCAAGCATTCTTCCAATTTGCGTATAGCCTTCTCAAACCTGTTGGCCTTTGATCTCATGCTCCAAATGGGAACCTGCAAAGCTCACCCTGGAGAACACTTGGTAGGACAGATCACCTCTCCTTTCTACTAACCTCCATTGATGAGAAAGCCATAGTACAGGTAGTCTTAGACTTACAACCATTTTTAAAAAATCTGATTGCCACTATATATTTCCAATAAAGTGCTTTTCTTATTTTAATAGCTTAAATAAATGGCCATTCAAAGTTACATTAGCAATGAAAAAAAATGACCTTCTTGCATTTATGACCAGGCATTGCAGCATCCATATGATCATTTAATCAAAATTTGGGTGCTTGGCATCTGGTATATATTTCTCATTGTTGCGGCATCTAGGGGTTATGTGATCATCATTTGTGACCTTCCCAGCCAGCTTCCAACAAGCAGAGTCAACAGGGTAGCTGGATTTGCTTAATAACCATGGCAAAAGAGGTGGCAAAATCAGGTGTGATTCACTTAACAACTGCCTTGATTAGCAATGGAAATTCTGGTCCCAATTATGGTTGTAAGTCAAGGACTGTCTAATTTCCTCCACAAATCTGATGTATACTTCAAATACAATCAAGTTTTGACTATCTCTCCAGCTGGTTTGAACTGCTCATGTTATAGCATGCCTAATGTCTTTCTTGCACATATAATTAATACTCTCAGATGTTGATGGTTTACAAAGGAGATGGAACTTCGCTCTCTATCTTAGAGTTTATTCAGGGATATCCAACCTTGGCAACTTTGTGAGCTTCAACTCCCAGAATTCCCCAAACCACCATGCTGGCTTGAGAATTCTGGGAGTTGAAGTCCACAGGTCTTAAAGTTGCCAAGGTTGGACACTGGTCATCTGATTGGTTCTATTGGCTCCACTTGCAATCAAACCCTACTCTTCAGTTACTACAAAATGAAACTTGGACTGCAGAAGTTTTCAAGTCTGCATGGATGTGTTTTACTTACCGCTTTGCTGACACAACAGGGTCTAAAGAACTGGAGATCAGGAAACCTTCTCTGAAGACCATCATCTGTAATATCTGGTCTGGGAAAAGAAGATTGAACCAGGCTGGAAATGGTAGGCCAGAGATTTGTCTCCATAAGCAACCCTGATCCCCAGCTCCTTCCACAAAGTCACTTACTGGCAGCTGCATTCAGAAGCTGGTCTAGGTTCCCGTCCCACGTTAAATCCCGGCTTGCATTTGAGAACGGGGTGTAGGAGGGCTGGGAGGCAAGAAGAGAGATGCATTTAGAACAGTGTTGCTCAATCTTGGCCACTTTAAGATGAACAGACTTCAAATCCCAGAATTCCCCAGTCACTAAGGCTGCCTGGGGAATTCTGGGAGTTGAGTCTGTTCACCTTAAAGTTGCCAAAGTTGAGAAACCTTGGTTTAGAAGGACCTGAATTTCTTGAGAATGAGTGGGGGCTATTAAGTAGTAGATAGAGAGTAGAGTGGTACTACTCCAGAGTAAGAGGAAGTAGCAATGGTGAACAACTGCTTACCATTTTCTGTCCGTCGGATGATAGTGCAAAATTCAGAGTATGGCATGGGGGGCTGTGAGAGTATCTGGAAGAGTCCCTGAAAATCAGGGGGGCTCAAGAATCCCAAAAGTCGCTCAGCTAGACCCCTTGCTGCCATGTAGCTCAGACGGGCTTGGGTCAGTGCGTGCTCTGCATGGAAACAAGCTAGCTGAAAAAAAGTGGGGAGACAGATCAGTTTGGAGCCCTATGATTTTCTATGGAAGACTATTCCTATATATAGGGAGTCCTTGACTCGCAATAATTCATTTAGTTACCATTTAATGTTAAAATGGCACTGAAAAAAGTAACTTATGACCATTTTTCACACTTATGACCATTGTAGCATCTCCATGATCACGTGATTTACATTCGGATGCTTGAGAACAGACTCATATTTATGACGGTTGCAGTGTCCCAGGGGACACCTGAGCTCTTTCTGCAACCTTCTGATAAGCAAAGTCAAAAGGGAAACCAGATTTACTTAACAACTGTGTTACTAGTTTAACAGCTGCAGTGATTCACTTAACAAACATGGCAAGGAAAGTTGTAAAGTGGGACAAAACTCACTTAACAAATTTCTCACTTAACAGCAAAAATTTTGGGGTTCAGTTGTGGTCGTAAGTCGAGGACTACCTGTATATACAGGTGGTCCTCGATTTACAACATTTGTTTCATGACTGAAGTTACAACAGCACAAAAAAAGTGACTTATTTTTCACATGACCATTGTAGCATTTCCATGGTCACATGATCATAATTTGGATGCTTGGCAACTAGTTTATATTTGTGATGGTTGCAGAGTCCTGGGGTCATGTGATCACTTTCTGTCAAGCCAACTCAATGGGGAAGCCAGATTCACTTAACAACCATGCTATTAACTTAAATGCAGCGATTCATTTAACAACTGTGGCAAGACAGATCGTAAAATGGGGTGAAACTCACTTAACAACCATCTCATTTACCAACAGAAATTTAGGCTCAATTGTGGTCGTAAGTCGAGGACTCCCTGAAATTGGATTATTGTTAACCCTTTCACCTTTGCACTTTCACTCATACTGCTTTTCACATATGGACATTTATATAGGTAGTCCTTGACTTATGACTGTAATAGAGCCTGCCCATCAAGGTTGTAAATCACGATGGTAATAAAACAAGTCAGTCACGTGACTGACTCAATTTTCTGCAGCAGTTTTTAAGCAAAACACTAAGGTTGTTAAGCGAACCAGTAATTTGCTATGACCATTGTAAAACCAGTCATGGGACCCTGGGCCTCTGCAAAGGATTATAAATGTGGCTGCGTTGCCAAGCAACCAAAGTTTGGTCATGTGACTGAAGGAGTGCGGTGACTGTCGGAGCTTCAGTTCCATGTCGCAAATAGCCACAAGGGAGGTTCATCGTGACTTTGAATGGTTGCTAAGCAACTGGTCATAAGTCGAGGACTCGCCTATATTCCAGTCTCTTATGCTGCACAGAATTATTTTCTCATTTCAGTATTACTGTTTTTATGAATAGGTTTCAGGGATAGAAGGATTGGACAGCTTTGGCTTATGATTAAATGACTTTTATTCCTTTTGCACAGTGTCTCAAGGTCATGTGATCCCCTTTTGAGACCTTCTGACAAACAGAGTCAATGGGGAAGCCAGATTCACTTAACAACCGGGTTACTCACTTATCAACTGCAGTGATTCGCTTAACAAATGTGATGAGAAAGTTGCAAATTGGGACAAAACTCACTTAACAAATGTCTCAACAACAGAAACTTTGGGCTCAATTGCGGTCATAAGTCGAATACTATCCCTAAACCGTTATGGTTTTAAACTTTATTTATGATGGGCCATGACTAAAAAAAACTTTGAATAGTTCCTCATTAAAGGTAGTCCTCGATTTACAACAGTTTGCTTAGTGACCGTTGAAAGTTACATCATCACTGAAAAAAGTGGCTTATGACCATTTTTCACACTTATGACCATTGCAGCATTCCCATAGTCGTGTGATTTACATTTGGATGCTTGACAACTAACTCACATTTATGATGGTTGCAGTGTCTTGGGTTCACATGATCATGTTTTTGAAACCTTCTAACAAGCAAAGACAATGGGGAAGCCAGATTCGCTTAACAACCGTATTACTAATTTAACAACTGCAGTGATCCACTTAACAAATGTGACAAGAAAAGTCGTAAAATGGGGCAAAACTCATTGAACAAATTTCTCACTTAACCACATAAATTTTGGGTTCAGTTGTGGTCCTAAGTCAAGGACTACCTGTACAAGAGAGAGAATTTCTCACTTCCACAGACTCCCTCTTTAGGGCTGGGCTGAAAAGTCAACCGGAAGTACCTGGGCAGATTTCTGGGCTTCTACAGAGACTTGGACCATTTGGGCAGTGCCAGCCACGGTGTTGACGAGCAGCTCAGCCATGGTTTCGGAGATTCTGGGGGCAAAACCTCCCGGAAGACTTTTATCAGACTGAGGAGGACTGTTAATCTCCAAATCGGAGCTCTTTTCCATTTTGGATCTTTAAAAAAAAGGATTTGGGGGGGGGATTGAGGAGGGGAGAAGAGAAATAAAGAGATGTATCTTGAAGGTTAGATGAAAGCTTAATGGAGGCTGAAAGGGAGAACTTTTCTTCTCCAGGGCTGTCAAAGGAGAACTTTTGAGACGAAAATAAGGCCTCTCAGCAGAATGAATGAATCAGCCATACCTATTATAGCAATAGCACTTAGACTTATATACTGCTTCACAGCCCTCTCTAAGCCATTTACAGAGTCAGCCTATTGCCCCCAACAACCTGGCTCCTCATTTTACCCACCTCGGAAGGATGGAAAGCTGAATCAATCTGGAGTCAGTGAGGGTTGAACTGCTGCCAGTTGGCAGAATTAGCCTGCAATACTGCATTCTAACCACTGAAACCACCATGGCTCTTATAATGTTCTACTGTTGAGGCACTCCCTTTGAAAAAGCCTCTGTTCCTCCCTAACACCATTTAGTCTGAAGTCTAAAGAGACTGAAACTGGGTTTAGCTATCGTTACAGTTCTCCCCAATAGCATTGCTGCAAAGAACCAGCATCAGGATTTCTGTACTCTCCTGCATCAAACTTACAGTATTTTTCAGAGTATAAGACGCACCTTTTTACCCCCCAAAAGGGGGTGAAAATTTAGGTGCATCTTATACACTGAATGTAGCCCTGCCCACCCACTGGCCCCCACCCTTTGTCCTGTGTCTTGCAGCAGTTACCTCCTTGCAAGCAAACAGCAAGAAAAAAACAGCTCCTTTCAGCTTCAGCATAGGCTAATTAGCACAAGTTGATTAGATCGGCCTCCCGACATTCAGCTGATTTGCTCTCAGCTGTTTTGCACAAGGCTCTGCTGCTTGCTGCAAAGAGCTAAATTGCTGGAGAAGATTTTTTTTCCTTATGCTAATCAAGTTACGCTGAAAACGAAACTGAAAGTAAAGCAGGCTGTTTGCTGTAGCGAGGCAAAATTAGGCAGAGGCAGAGGGAGATTTCTTTTTCTTCTTTTTCCTCACCAAAAAAGGTAGGTACAAACAATGGGAAATTTAGGGCAAAAGAGGAGAGTTCAAGATTTTAAACACACACAAAAAAAAAAAGGAGAAAGAAAAAGGCAAAAATAAAAATGGGAAGGGAGAAAAAGAAATGAAAGAGAAAAATGTTATACATATTTAGAACTGAAATATGAATAGTAGTAAGAAATAAATGGGAAATCATGATTGTAAAAATGAAATGAATAATAATTGGAATATTTGTCTTTGTATTTTTGAAATCTAGACAATGATAAGTTTTTCAGCTGCGCGAGCTGTTGTGGGTGCACCCAGATACACCCACATTACACTAATTCTCCGCGTGCTGCACTGGCTCCCTATTGGTCTCTAGGCACAATTCAAGGTGTTGATTATTACCTTTAAAGCCCTACATGGGTCAGGGCCAGGCTATCTTCAAGACCTCCTTCTACCGCATAACTCCCAGCGACTAGTAAGATCCCACGGAGTTGGTCTCCTCTGGGTCCCGTCAGCTAAACAATGCCGGCTGGTGGGCCCGCAGGGGAGGGCCTTCTCTGTGGCTGCCCCAGCTCTCTGGAACCAGTTACCTCCTGAGATCCAGACTACCCCCACCCTATTGGCCATCCGGAAAGCGGTGAAGACCTGGCTTTTCCAGCAGGCCTGGGGCCGTTGATCTCGCTGTTACAATCTTGCGAGATCCGGCCATGAATGGTGTGCATGGGCTTTTAATGTTTTTAAAATGTTTTAAAAATGTTTTTTAATAATTTTTCTATGTTCATTGTTCACATTATTTTTGCTGTAAGCCGCCGAGAGTCCCTCGAGAGTTGGGCGGCATAGAAATGTGATAAATTAAATTAAATTAAATTACATTTTTAATTTTTTTTTAGAAATATGAATAAATATAAACTGTAACAATTGAAATACCTTTAATGGTATATGGTGGTGAAAGTAAAAAAGGACTAAATTGTAGCTTGGATAGCAGCTAGAACATTTTTAAATTTAATTAGGGAAATTGTAATGATTGAAATATTTTTAATTATATATTGTGATGAAAGTAGAAATGATTAAGTTGTGATTTGGAGGATTATATGGGCAAAACTTTGTGGGTTATTGGGAGATTTTAAGATGTGAAAATGAGTAACATAAGAGGGGAAATTGTTTAGTTTATTATTATTGATAAATATAATTAATTGATTTGTAAGAAATTGAATTGCATGGAAATAATTGGAATATTCATGTTCATGTTGATTAATATACAAAAAAGATAGTTATATAACTAATTGATTTATATTAAAATGTTGAATTTGTATTAAACAATGTAATATTACTAACCAATGTGAGGATGGATATAAAAATAGATGACAATGGGAAGGGGTATAATATAGAATAGAAGGGAAAATTTGAATTTGATTAAGATTAGAGATGAGGATGAAGGGTAATATTGTTTTTAAAAAAAAAAATAGATGAGGAATAAATATGGCAAAAAGGAAATATAGAAATTGTAAATTTAATTGAAATGACTAAGCACTGTTTAAATTTGTGAACCAGCCAAATACTCTGTTCAAAGAAAATACATTGTATGTTTGTATGTGTGTTTGTCTAATAAATTAAAAAAAACCTTTAAAAAAAACCCCAAAAAAGGTATGTGCGTCTTATACTCCGGTGCGTCTTATACTCCAAAAAATACGGTATATCCTGCATTAAGGAGCAGCTGTTTGGCCATAGAAATTGAGTCATGCAACAAAACATCAGCAGGAATCATTTGACTTTGCTCCTTGCAACTGAATGGAGATGCTATAGGCCTCTGAGCATCAACCAAGGGCCTCCAAAATTAGGTTTCTCCCTCATCTTTTAATAGTGAAGGGACCAAGGAGATCCTGGCCAGTTCATTCTATGGAAGGAATAAGGTTGAATTTTGCTAAGAGCTCTAGTACTGGCGCTAAACCCAACTCTGTTTTTGTCAACTTGAAAAATGATTTTTGATTAGTTTTTTTAAAAACTAGGTATTTCATAGCTTTTGAAATGTAGCTATCTAATCTTTGCATGTGTTTCCATTTCTTGCTGACTGAAATTTTATTTGTTGTTTGCTTTTTGTCCCTCTGCCCTACCCCCAATATTTTAAAATATTGCCAGCTATTTTTCAAAGTGAGAAGAAAAATTGATTATCTTCGGCACTGTCCTTACCCAGAAAGAAATGAAGTACTGTAAAATTAGTTTCTGAATCTTCCAGGTTTACTTCTAAAACAAGTTCCTAGTCCTCATGGCAGCAGAGAACTTTGAGATGCCCAGACAATGGAGCCAGGAAGTTAGTAAAACCTGATATACATACATGCTGTTATTACTGTGAGAATTTTATCTTGGACTCTTGATCACACTGTATTCTATTCTCCTGCTTTCAATCTATTTTGTTTAATTTTATGATTTCTGTATCGCTAGCCACCCAGAGTAATTTTGTTGAAATGAGTGGCCCTACAATTTCTTGAAACAAATAAATGGAAAAGCAATCCTATAGAAAATTTAGAAATTGGGGTCAGAAAGCTCGATATGTTTACTAAAAAATAATTAAAAATCAATCACTTGCGCTCACTTTTAGACAATTATTTGTTCCATGGAAGAAGAAAATAATTATTTGCAGATTGCATAAGTAACATTACATTGTAAATGGATGCTTGCTTCTGTAGTGCTTTTAGATAAAAGGAAAGTGGGTGAATGAGGGTAACTGGTGAGGGTGAAAGGACTTCTTAGGGGCTTCTGTAAAATATAGCCAAAAAAAAAAAAAAAAAGTTAACATGGCAACATGGTGAGGCCAGCTCCCATCTATTTTTTAAAACATGCCTTGCATACTTTGACCACACCTCTGGCTGCTACACAAAGATATTTGAACCACTACCAGAAAATAGAAAAAGCTGGCTGTACTCTGTGCTTCGTTTACCTTTTGGAAATCTTGCAGCTTGGATCCCGATCTGAGGATTAATTGGAGTTATGATTTTCTGCTGTCTAGGAGGGGAAGATAGCTGCTAAATCCTCCTTTATCCTGAAGTGACATGCACATCACCACCATGCACACACAAAGTCTGCATGCCGTACCTGAAATTCAGATTCCCAAATCTGATTACAGACACCAATTGAACCTGTTGTCCCGCAATATTATGACAAAGATACAGCAGTTTCAAACATCTGGTATTTTTCTCAAGGGCCCAATGGAACAGAAAGTCAGGACTTTGGCCGTGCCCAGATGCTTGGCTGCAAAGGGAGGATCAAGAATCTGTGTTTGGGAAACGTGTGAAGTCACCTATCTTGGATGTAGACACAAGCCCTCTTTCCCACTCAAACACAAACCATCAGCCCTTTCCTCCTCAGGTGCCCCAGTGTGGGAGGTGGAATGAAACCAAGCTGTGTCTCCTGTTGCTCGCCAAACTGCCGGGATGCTGTTACCATGGGAATGCTTCCAGAATCCAGTTGCTAGGTGACGGAATTCCTTATAAAGCAAGAGGACCAAACTTTTGCAAACTGCCACACAGGACAGATTTGCAGAGACTCAGCAGTTCCATGATGCTGGCTGTGAGTCAGAAAATGTACTTTAGAAAGGAAAGGAACAAGCTCATGCTTTGAAGGTAGGACAGAAACCTGTTAGGGCTAAGAACCGTACAAGGAAGGGCAGTTGAAATGTGCTGCCGTTAGATTTCTGAATACCAATAGTAGAGAATATTCATCGTTCAGGGATGAACCGTGGGTCCCTTGGAGCTCTCTGAGTTTGGGTCTTTTTTTGCAAACGTTTCATCACCCAGCTAGGTAACATAATCAGTGCTAGAAGCAAACCCATTCCCTTCTAGCATTCCTGATGTTATCTAATTGGGTGGTGAAAGGTCTACAAGAAGACAGCTAAGCTCAGAGAGCACCAAGCAACCCACAGATATCTTGAGTTTTAGCATCTTGGCATGAAGAAACTTGCTTTAACCCTGGAGTTCTTCACCCCTCCCCAAGAAAAAAGACAAGACACTCTTCTTTTTTTAAATATTCAACATTTTTATTAAAAGATTTCTCACCCTGCCCAAAGCCTCTCCCATTGGTAGCCTTCTAGAGAGCAACCAATTCCACCTTTGTTTTCCTTCCACGTTTGCTCTCCTATGTAAGATTCAAGCTTCCCCACCCCTCCCCGTTCTTTTTTTTTTAAAAAGTGTTTTATTTTCTAATACATTCCATAGGACACATATGTCTAAGTTTCCCCGCAACATTTTTCTTCATATATAAAAAAAGACATACATACACACACTCACATTATTTTTTAATCACCCACACAGAGGGAGACAGGAAAAGAAAAGGGGGTGAGCGGGGCAGCACAAACAAACAAAAAAAAAAACAAAAAAAAAAAAAAACCAGGAAGAGGAAAACTGTACATGGGGAAAGTTATGGCACCAAAAACAGAAAAAAAAAAAAAGATTATTTTTTTTAGAAACATAAGGATTATTATAATACATCAAGCCCCTCCAGCCGTATCCCTCCCTGTAACCCCATTTCTCAGTCCCAGGCAGGCAGGAGAAAGAAATCACTAAATGAACATCTTCATTTAGTCATCAAAGATCCCCTCCTTCTCCTCCTCCTCTTCCCTCCCACCCTCCCCTCTTAAACAAAGGGGGCCTGATTCAAGTAGAAAATGGACTTGCCAAATCTGGGAGAGGGCTCTGGGAAAAATCCACCAGACAAGTTGGCAGTGGAGGCAAACTTTGGGCCCGAGGATTGTGTTGGGGGAAGGAGCACTGTGGAGATTTGGAGGGAAAAAAAAGAGGTGGGGGATTTGAGAATTGTTACATTTGGTTAGAAGGAGAGAGGGGAGATGTGCTTTGGCTGCCTTGCACTGGGGGTGGGTGGGCAAAATTTCAGGTTCTTGTGCAAGAACAGCAAAACCTCACGAGTGTGACTCTTTTTAAGAGGAGGAAGACGGACTCTTTGGCCCTTCCAAGAATCTTCTAGTCTGCCGTCACAGATTTGGGCTCTTCTACTCATTTTGCACATGGGATACCTTGCAATACCGTCCAACTGCTCTGAATGGTTTTTAGAAGCCCACATTTGAATGAGACAAACATCTTCCCTGTTTATTAGGACAAGTGTCTCTTTCTAGGGTGCCAGCATTATTTCTCTTCCACTCCCCATTTCATAAGGTTGAGAAACTTGAAAAAGTGGTTTTCTGCGAAGTGGGCAGTTTTTCTCCTCCTGCACCTAGCTAATCTGAGCCTTATTTACATAAACAGCAGATGGGGAGCTGGTGAAATCCTCACTTCTGCTCACTTTAATAACTGGTCAGTGTCTACCTAGTTTAGATGCCTCCCCCCCAATAGTGAAAATAATTGTAAAGCATACAAAACTAGTGTCTCAGAAATTCTACCTCAGATGCCATCTGACATCTATTTTTCCAATGAGCATTTTAATTTCCTCAGAATTCTCCCATTTGCAATTTAAAAGAGGAGAATTCACAATCACATCTGCTGTCACCGCATAGGATCCTGGCATTCTTCTCCAATGGATTAACTGCTAGAAGAAAAGGACTATCTCCTGGGGCAGACACTAATATCGCCCACCGTACAACTATTGTTTAAAATTCAAATGCTTCAGTGTTGTGAATGAACATGACCCCCACGCTTCATTTTGCAAGAACTGCAAAAACCTTCTTCCTACAAAAGTCTTGCCAATCCTGATGCCCCCTAGAGAGGTTGAGCTAGAATTCCCTTTAGCCGTCCTGGCTGGGGGTGATGGAAGTTGCAGTCCAACTTATCTGGGGAACATCAGGTTGATGAAGACTGTTACGGTTTCTAGACTTCAGTGGGGAAGGGGACAGGAAGAGAGAATGAATCCCAAGTGACCCTCACTGCCAGATTAACTTGCTCTCATGAAAGAAACTGGGTTTTAGATCTCTAATTCATGTCAAATGCACACCCTTTCACAATATTAATTTCAGACTTTCTTTTGGATGGAGCACCAAGGAAGTTCAGGCAAATCCGCCAAATAAGATAGATACACGATTTTGAAAACCTTTCGATCGGCTGATGGGACCACTTCTGTCTCATCCTGATTGTTCTCAGGTTAATTAATCTGCCTGCCTTTCAGAGGAAAGGGAGGCCCTGTTCTTTAAGCCCAGAGTAGAGATAGCTGGTCTTCAAAATCATTTATTAAGGTCAAGTGGTCCCTGATCTCAATCTTCCCTGGATAGATAGCCTTGAGGTTTGATCATACTGGGTTATTCTGTAATTTTCAGAACGGATGTATGGCTTGAGAAGGAGAATGTGTAGGAACAGAGGAAGAAATGAGATGACAATGGCACTGTGTACAATCTGAGCCAACCAAGTAAAGTACTTGACTCAGCTGGCTTCCTGAAATCTGCAACCAAATCTCTTGCATGCAAATATGAACCCTGGTCTGCAGAGCTGCAGATTGGAAGAGGCTAACATGAGCAACGGAAGGTGCCAAGACTGTGACAAATGTGGAAAAGACAAAAAGGCTTGAAAATTATAAAGTGGGCAAACTGCATCTAAAGCAACTCGGAGGAGGTAATTTCATATAAAGGTTAGTTGCATAAGCACTAAGCTAAATCTCTTCCAGAGATCTAGATTGTGATCAGGAAACTAAATGTGCTATATGTGCATGTTTGGGAAGAGCTCCAGTCCAAAGCTCCTTGTTGCAAAAATTGTTGGATGCTTCTTCCATAAGAGAGGAGAGTGAGGGAAGAAAGACTATGTTTATAAGCTTAAGGGTTGACCGTTAATAGATGATCCCCAGACTAAGGTGGGCTTAGGGCCACATCTCAAAACAGACATTGGGGTTGTGGATGGAGGGCACTGATTAATATCTACATTCGGATCATGATCGGGATAGAAAGAGTTGACAACCCATTTATTCTCCCCATCATGTGGGACCAGCATGATGCCAAGAGAGTTTCTAGAGCTGGAGTAGGCCCCAGATTGAGAAAGAGAAGGCAATGCAGATTTTAGAGCCCAGAGTAGCCTGTCCTATACATTTCCCTCTCCCGTCCTTGGGCTAGAGTATGTTAAGGAAGGTACACAGAAAGCAGATTAAATTCTGTCATCTCCTCCTGTCTGTGAATTTGGGCAGGAACAAAAGCCAGTGTCTGCGCCCAGGATGCAAAGTTCTTCACTGTCACTCTGAAAATTTCTAAGCATGCAGATTAGCCCCACCATCAATGCAAATCCAGGATTCTCTCCAGTTCAAAGGCCTGTCCGTTCCTCTCACTAGCCAAGCTGACTTCAAGGAACCTCTGGCCTTGGAGAGGAAGAAGCAGGGTTTCTGGCTGCAGCAGCTCCAATTACACCCACAAACAAGCCACAGTGCACAATTAAAAAATTCTGGATTTGTTGTATTGTGGGAGTGTTTTTCTTTTCTTTTCCCCACCCTCTCTTCTCAAGAGAAGAGATTATTCAGCCACACCCTGAAGAGATAACTTTATCTCCATTGCTGGAACACTATTCTTGGTCTGTCTTCATCTACAGATTGTGGTGACGCTGGGGGAGCAACCGACAGCCGTCAGGGACACAAGAATAGACTGCCAACATCATGTTTGCAGCTTCGATGTCTCTATCCATTTGGTATGGGATAGGAAACCACGATCTGAGGAGGCACCAGCTATGCTCCAGAGGACGAGAATTCAACCTTCCATCTCACAGTCCAACCTTCTCCTGGTGATTGACAACTCAAAGGCTACTGATGATGACCGAGAGCCTTCCACTGTGGTCCAGTTTCACAGCTTCTCCCATTTTTGTTTTTTTAACTTATCGACCCCCGGATAACATGCCCCGCCTCCCTCCCTTTTTCACCAGCCAATCCCCCATTTGCCTCCAGCCAAGTCTCCCTGTTCTCTACCAATCGCTTCACGAGTAGGAAAAATGTGACCCGTTGAGGATGTGAGAAGTGACACTGGCTGAACGGCTGATGCCCTGGTCCGACTGGCCGCCAGAAGCTGTGCGCCGCAGTGGTTGGGGGCTGTTTCTCAGCATGACCACATTGGAACGGCCGCCAGGAGCCGAGGAGGAGGAAGAGGAGGAGGGAGATGAGGAAGGGGGATGAAGCCAGGCTGAAGGGGGCGGGGCAAGCATGGGAGGCTGCCTCCATGCATGAGGAGCACCAGCTGTATTCTGAACCCCGTGGCTCCAATGGGAACCGCTGCGGGGAACCGGGCGGGAGGGCCAGGGCTGAGGAGGGGCCGTGTAGCCTTGGTTGAAGGCTTCAGCTGGAATGCCTGTGAGCGCCATATTGCTGAATCCCAGACGCATACTTTCAGAGTCGAAGGCTTCGATCTCCCGGGCCTGGCGCTCCAAGAGGCTGCGGATGCGATCGGAGCGTTCATTCTGCAAGGCCAACATCTCCTCTTCGATCTGGACAAGGAAAGGGGGAAAAAAATGCATCGTGACTTCAAGTG